ACCCGGAATTCTGAAATACGTTTTCGATTCAAGGTTATTAATTGCGTACAGCTGTAACAATGAAAATCGTACAGCCTACTCTCAGTGTATTTTAGTCACGTCAGGATGCCGTCTTTTTAACGAGCTTCCTTATGACGGCTAATAAAAAGTACGTACTGTAAAAAGTGGCTACTTATGTAATTCACACTTTCATCATTGATCTTATCTGCCTTTATAAATTCAAATATGTTCTATGGAAAATATGCACGAAAAAATTATTTTTTGTAGTCCTTTGGTAGCATATTGCACCTTCTTTAAATATTATCCTAAAACAAGGAGTAACCTTCGGCTTTAAAGAATTTTTTTATTATGAGCTTTTTTATGATTTTGAGTTGTTCATTCAGTATGCATCACATCCGTTAATTTATTCATGCTACCTATAATGTGTACAGCAAATTCAACGACTGTTGCAATACTTGATGTGAATTATGTGACTTCTTCCTCGAGTCGGATGCAAAAGCGTACTTTCTCTTAAACAGGATGTATACAGCGCGCAGTTTGTAAAACTTGAATTCAAGTGCATCCGTCAGTAGGTTTCAAAATTATTCAGCAACTAAGAAACTTTTTTTAACCGAAGTATACTCCTTCTTTAAGTGTAATATTTAAAGAGGACGCAATCTGCTACCAAAAGACTACAAAAAATATTTTTTCGTGCATGTTTTCCATAGAATATATTTGAATTTATAAAGGCAGACAAAATCAATGATGAAAATGTATACTACTTAAGTGGCCACTTTTTACAGTACGTACTTTTTATTAGCTGTCATAAGGAAGCTCGTTAAAAAGACGGCATCCTGTCGTGACTAAAATACACTAAAAGTAGGCTGTACGATTGTCATTATTACAACCATACGTAATTAATATGTTCGAATCGAAAACGTATTTCAGAATTCCGGGTGACATTTCATGATATAGGGAATCTACCGTATAATGCGACGTAGATTTTTGTTTACAATTAGAAGCATGCTGACCGATTGCGTAACACGCAACCACATCCTTCGT